CAAAACTAAAAATCATAAAAACAAAGACCAGGCATACTGATAGAGACTGGTGAAAACCCTGAGACTACGGCTCCTAGTCACCCTTCAGGCCAATTGAAGTCACACCTGTAGCTTTCAGACAAACAATTGATGGCAGGTAAGGTATACTCCTTAGAACACTCAACCATGGGAGAACAGAAGGGCAGTATTTGCACAGGGAGATAGCTCAGAGGACAGGAATGTATAGGAAAGAAGGATAAAGGGAAAAGGTAACCAAAGAGGAAATGGAAAGAGAGCTATTATATTTGGGGGATTGTAATCAACATCATGAAACAAAATGTATATGAACTGTTGCATGGAAAGTGAATTTTCTCTGTAATCTGTCACCCAAGTCAGAATTAAAAACATTAAAAAAAAAAAAAAAGGAAGAAAAGCAAAATTGAAATATTACTATGAGAACTGTTTTAGTTTACTGTTGTAAATTTACACTTATGTCAGGTTCGACTTGATGGCAGTGAGTTTGTTTTTTGGTTATAGTAGGCTTCATGCTAGCAAGTTTTTGACATTTTTCTCTATGTTCCCCCCCACCTTGTCTGGAATTCCAACCGGATGTATGTTATCACAATATATACAATTATATATATATACACAGAAAGAGAAAGGATAATGTTAAATGTAAATAACTAGTGACTATACTGAGCAATAATGGGCTCTAGCATAGCAATAATTGTGAGGATGGTGCAGGACTGGGCAATGTTTCATTCGGTTATGCATTGGGTCACTGTGAGTCGGAAATGACTTGACAGCACCCAACATATATTTCCTAAAATATTTTAAATTAAGTTACAGACATTATGCCCCTTTACTGTTAAATAATTGATGTGTGTTTCTTTCTTCTCTTATATAACTATAACATAATTAAATAAAAAATCAAGAAACATAACTTTGATACAATACTATTACCTAATATACACTCATACTCTATTTTAAGTTCTTCAACATATTTTTTAGTAGCTGATTTAAAGCCCTTTTATGATAATTTCAGTATCTGTGTCATTTCAGAGTCAGACTCTATTGTCTTCTTTTTTCTTTTGGTAGTGCTGTGGTTAAAGCTTTGGCTGCTAACCAAAATGTTGGTGGTTCAAACTCATCAGCCACTCTGCCGGAGAAAGATGAGGCAGTCTGCTTCAGTAAAGATTTACAACCTTGGAAACCTTATGTGGCAGTTTTATTCTGTCCTGAAGGGTTACTGTGAGTTGGAATCAACTCCATAACAGGATTTTTTTATATTAATTCTATTAATTAATTAGGGAGCTCTGGTAGCATAGTGCCTAAGGCACTTGACTGCTAACCAGAAGGCTGGTGGTTCAAACCCACCAGCCACTCCTTGGAAGGAAGATGGGGCAATCTACTTCTGTAGTGATACTGCCTCGGAAACCCAAGGAGGGGTCGCTATGAGTCAGGTCCGACTCCACGGCACATAACAACAACAACAACAATTAATTAATTAACTCTGTGAGTTCTGCATATATAGCATTTTTTTTTAATCGTATGATGAATATTGTAGGTAGTATGTTCTATAGATTTGTGTCATTCTCTCAAAAAGTGTTGAGTTTTGTCCTGATAGGTGTTTAAGTTAGTTGCAGAACTTTTTGGTTTCGCTATTGGTTTTATTCTTTGTTAGAGGAAATCTATTTAGTTGTGACCTTAGTCCGAGTATGTTCCCCTTATTTTAGGAAGTGGTACATATTCTTAATGCATGGGTTTCTTGGGGCTTCAAATTAATGTCCCAGGTGCACAGTAAGAACTCTACACTCCGGCTGGGCTGGACCTCCAATACTTCTCAGTGCTATAGACCTTTTATAGCATCAGTTAGCTCTCAACTCTTCAGTAGATAATTGCTCCACTGTGTATTTCCCTGAGTTTGTGCAGCCCTGTTCTGGATGAAGTAGCCTATTAAATCCTCATGTAGACTTCTAGGTCTCTCCCATGCTGTACACTTTTGTCTTCTTGGTGTACTTATCCTGCAAATTCAATTTCAGTCACTTAGAACACTAATTTCTACTTCACCTGCACAGCAAGTCACCATGGCACTTATATTCCATATCGCTACTTTACCTCATATATTTCCCTTCTCCTAAGAATCATAATCATTCACTGCCTTTGTTGCTTAGTGATTGAAAATAATTTCTTCCTATATTTTGTTAAGTTTTATAATTGTTATTAGTAAGTGTTGGTTTAATGCCACTTCATCTTTCAGCATCAGAAGTGGAAGTCTTCTTATTTATTTTTCATACTGTTCAAACACAGTCTCTAATACAGAAATTGTATGTGGTGCAAATGCTAGATGGAATATAAATGTAGATTATTACTAAAGTCACAAGTTTAAGGTACTAGATCATAAAATTTAAAGTCCTTTTGTGTTCATTTCAATATCTGTGTCATTTCAGGGTCAGACTGTGAAAGCGTTTTGGTTTTGATGAGAGAAAGTTGCTACCATGAAAATTTTAATACTCAAATTATCTACAAGAGGAGAGGGAATTTACAAAACTGTGTTTGGACAATTTGAGTTTACTAGTTTGTATTCACATACTTCACTCAATTGGAATACTGTAATTTGACAATTCACAGCTATAGTTGACATTCCATACTACTATTCAATCTTACTTTCCCTAACCAGATTCTTTTGAGCCTAGTATTAAGATTTATATTAATATAGTCAAGAGGCAATAAAGAGGTAAAGATTATCTTGTTGTTGTTGTTATGTGCCGTCGAGTCGGACCTGACTCATAGTGACCCCTCCTTGGGTTTCCGAGGCAGTATCACTATGGAAGTAGGATTGCCCAACCTTCCTTCC